AATATTGTCTATGATGTTGGTTGTATAGCACACTTCCTTATTGCAACATGAAGTATTTTGCCTAAGTTCAAATCCTATCATATATTTTTATATACTCTTTTTTTATTTTTATAACTCTTTTATATTAAATGATATTTTAATTCTATTTTTATATTATTTCCCTCATTATTTATATTTTCTTGTCAGAAGTCAATTTCTTTCGTTTTTATACTCTCGCAACCTGTTGCTACAGAGTATAATAGTTTTGTTCACCTAACGGTTGTTTGTATCACCTAAAACTAATCGAGTTAGATATAGGGTTATATAAATGATCAGGATGAAGAGACGAGTTGAAATCCGGGTGACTGTCTGTCCGTCCGTCCGTCCGTCCGTGCAAGCTCTAACTTGAGTAAAAATTGAGATATCTTTATGAAACTTGGTAGACATGTTTCTTGGTACCGTGAGACGGTTGGTAAGCAGATGGGCGTAATCGGACCACTGCCACGCCCACAAAACGCCATTAATCAAAAACAAATAACTTGCCATAACTAAGCTCCGCAATAAGATACAAGACTGTTATTTGGTACACAGGATCACATTAGGGAGGGGCATCTGCAGTTAAAACTTTTTTTAAAAAGTGGGCGTGGTCCCGCCTCTAATAGGTTTAATGTGCATATCTCCTAAACCCCTAATGCTATAATAACAAAATTCACTAGAAGCAAATGTTTTTAGCACTTCTATTGACGGTGTGAAAATAGTTGAAATCGGGTGGCAATTTCGCCCACTCCCCATATAACGGTACTGTTAAAAACTACTAAAAGCGCGATAAATCAAGCACTAAACACGCCAGAGACATTAAATTTTATCTCTGAGATGGTATAAATTGGCTTTATAGGAACCGCGTTCAAAATTAGTCAGTGGGCGTGGCACAGCCCACTTTTAGGTGAAAACCCATATCTTGAGATCTCCTCAACCGATTTCAACCAAATTTGGTGCATAACGTTCTTATCATGTTTCTATGTCATAGTGCGAAAATGGGTGAAATCGGACTACAACCACGCCTATTTCCCATATAACACCATTTTAAATTCCATCTGATTCTTTCACTTTCCACTATGCAAATTAGGTAACAATGATTATATCGGGGTAAAACTTTGCGTGAATAATGCAATTAAAGTATGCCACCTTGCGGCCAAAAATTGTCTAAATCGAACCAAAACTGTTCAAACCCCTAAGTACTAAATATGTGGACCCCAGTGCCTATAGTTGACCTTCTACCGAAAATATCAGTCAATCCACAAAGAAATCTCAAACGAGTATACCATTTGACTTTGCGAGAGTATAAAATGTTCGGTTACATCCGAACTTAGCCCTTCCTTACTTGTTATTACTTAAATTTTTGTTTATGCGCATACCAAAGAACATCTGTGCATATGTATGTATATACATTTTGCTTATAGAGTGGTGTAGTTCGTTGCGTACCCTGAAAGGTGTGGTGACATTTTATTTTCGAACTTGCACGTTTTCGATGTTCCCTCATCGTAATTAACATTTTAGAACAGCTAACATTTGTCCTTCAAAAAAAGAGTATATAAAAATATATGATAGGATTTGAACTTAGGCAAAATACTTCATGTTGCAATAAGGAAGTGTGCTATACAACCAACATCATAGACAATATTCAAGTTAATTTGTCTAATCTGTGAACTCAAACAGCTATTGTTGTTTACTTGCTTCAAATGTTCTTATGTGATATGTGAATATTCTTGAAATTGCCTTCCTTCATTCGCATGTCCAAATATATTTGCATATATGTACACATATGTACATATGTATGTCCCTCAATATGTCTTTCGCAAAAAATTGAACATTCGCGCAAGTGACAAAGAAAACGTAGACGCACCATCATCGGCCAATAATATTCAAGGGAACTCGCGGCTTATTTTCTCAGTATTTCATATTACAACGACAACAAATTCATTCATAAGGAACGTGCGTCTGCTTCAAAGCAAAGTGCGTTCGTTCATAACTCTGCGCCGCGCTATTTTTTCTGTGCGCCTGGTAAACCACATTTGGTTTTCATATAGAATTCCTACCGCAAATGCGCGAATATAAAAATGAATGAAATTGAATTTGAATGTCTTCACTAAAATTGAAGAATCAGCAAAATTTCAATTTTACAATTTGTATAACTGAAAGTCCTACCATTCCCCTCGCATTTGTATGTTGCCCACAAGCTGCTGCCTCACAACATTTGCTAAAAATCAGAAATTGAAGAATTTGTCTGATGTTCCCTTCAGAAAGGAGAATTGGCAACATGACCTATTAGCGAGTTTAAATAATATTTATATTTTTGCATATTATGCACTATATATTTCATTCATAAGAAATCTTTAACTACTTCTATATATTCTATGCACAGTGCATATAGTACTTTTATATGTTTACTTATTATCATTGTTTCATAGTTTTTCGATTTAGCCCATTTTATCTAAATACGACGCTATGAAAATGCAGCCCAATTGGTAATCGCAATATTTCAAAAGAGAATAAGTCAACTTTCAATAGCAAACCACTGCAAAAAGGACAAACGAGACAACATAGCCGACCGACATTGTCGCAAAATTGTCGATTCAAACAAATTTTGTCAACTCCGCCACGATGCGCAAAATTCGGCGTCAATATGTATGCGAGCNCAACATTTGCTAAAAATCAGAAATTGAAGAATTTGTCTGATGTTCCCTTCAGAGAGGAGAATTGGCAACATGACCTATTAGCGAGTTTAAATAATATTTATATTTTTGCATATTATGCACTATATATTTCATTCATAAGAAATCTTTAACTACTTCTATATATTCTATGCACAGTGCATATAGTACTTTTATATGTTTACTTATTGTCATTGTTTCATAGTTTTTCGATTTAGCCCATTTTATCTAAATACGACGCTATGAAAATGCAGCCCAATTGGTAATCGCAATATTTCAAAAGAGAATAAGTCAACTTTCAATAGCAAACCACTGCAAAAAGGACAAACGAGACAACATAGCCGACCGACATTGTCGCAAAATTGTCGATTCAAACAAATTTTGTCAACTCCGCGACGATTCACACAATTTGGTGTCAATATGTATGCGAGCTCATATATGTATGTATGTATGTATATACATATGTATGTTTGTGGACAAAGTCATCATTTGGTTGTTTTCAACAACACAATGTCTGCGCGAACTCGCCGTTATTTTGTTGGCTTGCCACTATACACAGAGGCGTTCTAACTGAGGACTCTTAGTATATTATTATGTTGCTTAATTTGTATTGATAAATACTGATGCATTTATGAATTATTTTCGTTATATAATATATATTATATATATATATATATATACACATATATTCATACCTATAATCGTTTTTAAACTAAATTCGATTAATAAAAACTATCTGAAATAATTATGTGGCAGTGCGCCCCAATCCCTCCTTGCCTGCGATCGTTCAACTCGCAAAAAGCAAAAAGTGTTGACAAAAGTCATTGCTTGTGCGGGGCAAGAAGAAGCAAGCATCAGCGTACGTGTATTTAAGAATGAACGACCTAAGCCACTACATAAATGGAAACACGACCGCTTAGCCAAAGTTTTATTATTATCATTTGTTTAATAAGTATATTGCTTACGCAACGCACATACAAAAGTTGGAAAAATTGCATATCAAAGGTTATTTTATTATGAATTCTGGGGTTTTTGCCAGTAATCCTCCTTTTTAATTCAAAAGGCTTTTCATAATTATAAATTTGTCATATCATAGAAATTGAAAACATAAATCTAAATAGGTATGAGCAACGATTTTTCATTCGTTGTGTCTATTTATAGCCTTTTCTCCGTTTCGCACACAGCGTGGGGTATTTTACTCTTTCGAAGTTATATTTTTCGATGTTCCCTCATGTGAAATTACAAATTACAAAAAGATTTCATTTAACATTTGCTCCTTCTCTATTCATTTACATTCTCTGATAAAACGATTGAAAATTTTACAATTTTAATATAATTATGTGTAATAAGCCGAATAGAGCAAAGAAATAAAAGAAAACCTTATATTATCAAAAACACGCTTGTGCCAAAACTTTTTTGATTCGCTGTATGTATATATTTCATTTCGCGTAGTCATTCTCATAAATCTTACATATGTAGGTATTCATACGTACTTGCATGAGACTATAGAAATATGATTAATTATACAATATATTTACAAGTATTTACTCGAATAATGAAATACTTCCTTTAACAATTTTGAAATAATAAATTATTTATGTTCGTTGTGAATATTAATAAATCATAAAATTTGAGTTGAAATAGTGTGGGGCACTATATGGGTTTACATTGTTTTCATTGTTAAAATGTGCTTTATAAAGAGTGTGAGTTATCCAAACCATGGAATCCGTTACGTTTTCATACATAAAAGGTTCCGTAGTTAATTCACCACATTCCTTCCCGTAACCCAAAGAGACCAAACCAATTTGAGTGTAATGCTTTCTTATGAATCTACCACTTAGGTAAGCGGTTTTCCAAAATAGTGGACCTCCAGAATCTCCACGACAAGACACCGTTTGGTTAGTTCCAGCTTGAATACAAAGCTTCGAATTGTCAATTTTAAAACGTGGGTATAAGTTCTTGCAAATATCCAATGCTTTGAGTATCAACTGACCTTTTTGAAGTACGTCAACAGAGCGATCTAAATGCACACATGTATTTAGAAACAATTTAAGAATATGGTAGTAAATACAATTAATTTACCGTGTTCTTGTAGGCCCCAGCCAGCTAATACTAAATCATCGTGTGGCGAAATATTATAATCCGATGGCATCGTGGGCAAGCAAATGGGTGCTATGTGCTGGTAACCTTAAAAGGATATATGGTAGAAATATATTAATAACTTTGTACAATGGGTTAGATACAGTAAGTGACCAAAGTTCCTATGTATGTACACATTGTATTTATATCCTTAAAATATTTTATTTGTTAAGTGAATTCATTATGCAGCTCATCAAATGCGAGCTCATCGAGTCTTGACTGTAAGGTCCCAAATAATTTTAACAAACCGTATCGACCAATTTTTTTTTAAAGACTGCAACTATTATTTTTATCAGTTGTGAGAATAAAACAGAAAAAAACAAACCATTATTTGAACAACGCAGAATTTCCCCTTATCTGTTAATTCTATATTATAGTTGTTCTAGTATATAAATTTAGAAATTTAATTTCTAAAGATCTTAGATTTACTTACGTCTAAAATCTATGTCCATATTAAGCTTTATCAGAGCGATATCCTTATGGTAATTTAGCGACTTGTAATCGGGATGAATTATGGGTTTCTGGTGTGGATCGATTACAAAGTCTACGTGAGTTTGGCAAATGTGGAGTATACAGTCGTTTTTGGTGGAAATTCTGTGTTCGCCTAAGCGCACAGCTTGTCTGCATATATTGGAAAATAGATTTAAAGCGATCAGTATTCTCAGAGAATACACCATATATATACAAATACTTGATTTTGCGAATTTTTATATTTAATCACTTACAAATCGTTCGAAATGCAATGGGCCGCTGTGAGGACAAAGCGTTCTGTTATGACCGAAGCACCACACAATGGTTCCATCCGCGCATAAAGTAACATGGCCATCCATGGAAATTCGCCTTGTGTAGCGCTTATACCATTGGCCATACGATCATCATTAATTTTACCGCAATTGGGTTTGTTTAGTAGTGCCAATCCCTCCGGATGGAGCTTTTTCGAATTTCTAAGATTGGTTTCTTTATTAAGCGCAAAATGCATATACCGCTGATTTGGCCTTTCTGTTGTAGTTGTTGTTGTTGGCCTTCTAAAAGGCCGTTGTTGTCGTCTCCTTCGGGGGCAACATATAACAGGACCACTCTGCGGAAGAATATCTGATGTGAGACCACACATTAACACAATATAAATTATTATTCCTTACTAGTCTAGAGTATTTACAATCCTTAGGATTCAGCATGTCCTTTGTTAATGGAGTATCCTGTAGGTTCGGGCAGTTTTCATATAACTTACAATGGCCAAAATAGTCATTTTCTTTGCACACATAATCACCTTTGGGAGTATTCGAATTAGTATTTCAAGGTTTCTCTATATACATATGTAATGTGTATGTGTCTGTATGTATGTATGTATGCATTTACTTTATCAACTCACCAGCTATAACGCTAAGATTGCAGTAGAAAGCCACAGAAAGGCAAGCAAATAATTTGAAGCGAAACTCGGGCATTGGAACAACCGCGCGATTAAAGCTCGTAAGAGAGACTGCTTGCTGTTTAGAAAAGCCAATTATGCTGTTCATTATAATATTGTATAATCAATTTGGATTAAAATGAAAAGCTAGAAATTCTTATCGCATTAACTTGAATTACAGAAGTACCAAAGGGTAAAGTTAATCTTTCTGTACCCAACGTATATTTTAGTAAAGTGAAATTTATAATTTTTTCATAAGCGGTCTCTGTAGATCTGAGAATAGTAAAAGGCGCAATTTTGAGACATTGTTTTGATTATGAATTCGTATGGCACTCAACGATATTTTTAGAACCTTTAATATTTTTAGAGTGAAAACTATCCCGGATCTCAGTTTTTGAAATATCGATCTGAAATTTCGTTTCTCCCCGAGAGGCAGCTCATTTGTCAGATTCGGCGATATCATACAAATTGACCGATCAAAATCAAGTTCACGTATGGAATACTTTTTTATTTGACAAAAATCTTCACGAAATTTGCCATACATTATTGTTCAAGGCTACTCTACAATCTTCGAACAAATTGTTGAGAACGGATCACTATAGTAAATAGTTGCGATTTAAGCTTATCTATCAAAATCAAGAAATCTTGATTCGACTTGAAGATTCTTTATACCAAACAACCCAATTATCAAAACGTTTATTTACAGATTTAGTTGATATGCACGTGTGGAGGGTATTATAGATTCGGTGCAGCCGAAGTTATCGTTTTTTCTTCTTTACAACTATTATCAAATACTTTTGTAAACTTTCACTGAAGGACGTACATTGGGTTTCATAGAATTAGATAAGTTTATTATTTTCAAAGTATTATTACTATTGCTTTTAAAATTGCCAGTAATCACACGCCAAATAAAAAGTAAAAAATAACCCCATACTTACATACATATGTACACGTATATGAATATATTGAAACGAAGTTTAAATACGACCCGTTCCCCTCAAAATTGACATACAAATATTTTTTTCGCGCAAAACATTTTTTTTGTGTCCTTTGAGGCAAATTATTGATCACGTATTTTTTCCGTATTTTTTTTTAATTATGAAAAATTTTGGAATATGTTTGTGTATCTCCTGTAACAAATTACAATTTTTTTCTTAATTTGGCGCTTAAGTATAGCACTTCTGGACGTGGCATAGGTTCTACTTCGCTAATATTTAATACAAACCTCCCGAAAGTGACAAGGAACACGACCGGCGAACGGGCTGATAGTCACTCGAAATTTAACTCGCGTCGTCATTCTGATATACCATCAAATGTATATAATATTATATATACATTCTATCTGGACTAGTTTTAATCTCTGTTGCAACATGTTGCGAGAGTATTAATTTATTACGAAAGAATTTAGTATGAATTATTCGCAAAAATTGAATGGAATCATATTTGGTATGAGGAAAAAGCCAACCCAATAATCGGAGGTCATTATGTTAGGAATATGATTTTCAGAGAAAGGTCTAGACAGACTTTATTCATTTACAGCGCTAAAACACAGTTTCGCGCATATTGGCTAGATCAGGAAATTTGATTAAATAAGAAAATGTTGTAACGGAAGAAAACCAACAGAAGAAATGTAAAATAGTTTGGATTCTGGGACTCATTTTATCGGCGAGATAATGGTATTTTTCTTGAAATTCTTATTTTATTCCAATTAGGTTTTTAAGTATACTCCTTTGTTTTATAAATTATACGTATTCCCTCACACTTATGATATATATAATATATTGAACATTTGAACCTTGCCTTCGATAACTTTAAGTATAAAATTTTTGAAAGTGTATAAGAGTTCAATCAATTTGAGCTTTTTCGACATGTAGTGTGTTCATATAATATATGTAAGTAAATCCCCGTTTTACACCCTAAACACGTTATATTAAGTTTGTTACACCCGGAAGGAAACATCGGGCGTGCGGAAAAACATATTCTCTACAATAACAAATTCTCTACAATCGCAAAACACACTTAATTAGATATTTAGTAGGCATACGATAGTTTTACCTTAAAATATTCTTTTTATATTTGTACATTTTGCGAAAAGTGGTTGGTCTCAAAACTAAAATAAGAAAATTCCAATTCTTCCAATAAAAACAGATATATAAAGTAATTCGATTGAATAGAAAAATATTCTTAATTGTGAACATTTGGAAATTTTTAAACGAATTATAACAATTCAATTCGGAAATTTTAGGGCCAATTTGTGGATCAAATCAATTGGAACTTCCTAACACCAAGTAAGCCAAAGTTTTATTGACACCATTGACAATTATGGTACTTGACTTGTAGAACTCTCCATTTCCTTGCTGGCGGTATTTATCAAAAATGCAGTGGAAATCATTTTAACATTGGCCTAAAATATTATGGAATACCGTTTCTATGTTCGATGGATTAAACCACAAATGACTGAAGAGAACCAACGCTTAAAATTTTTTATTTTACTCAAAAAGTGAATTCATAGGAATAATATATTGTATGTTAAGATGTTATGTTGTATACTCTCGCAACATGTTGCTACAGAGTTATTAGTTTTATTCACCTAACGGTTGTTTGTATCACCTAAAACTAATCGAGTTAGATATAGGGTTATGTATATATTATATAAATGATCAGGATGAAGAGACGAGTTGAAATCCGGGTGACTGTCTGTCCGTCCGTATATCTGCAAGACAGGTCTGGTGTTGCCAATCTAAAAAATGAAGATTTGACAGATAATTAAACAGCTGAAAATTTTTAAATGAAAGTTAAAAATTTAATTTAGGGATTGCTCACAAAAACGTGGTGAAAAATTCTTAAAATGGAGAATAGTTTTGATTTATATTATGACGATAAAAATGTTGGGGCAAAACTGATGTGCTGCGCATAAGAAAAAGTTTTCGTGATCAGTCAAATCCTTTCGAACTTCCTAACTTTTGGCTAAATGGCTTTTAAATAATGTTTATTGCAGATTCATAAGTTATTTTCGTTTAAATAGGGAATCATTTGGTGTTTTATTAAATGTGCTGAAGGAACATTACCACAAACTCTCCTTTCCTTGCTGCCGCATTACATTTTAAATAATTTTAAGTTTGGACTGAAGAAACGATATCTATGGTTGTGGCTTTTAAATATTATAAACATCATGTTTGTGCGCTGTGGATAAAACACTAATGACTGAAAAGGAGTAAAACGCTTCAAAAATTTAGTTTTACTAAGTATATTTCTAGGAGTAGAAGATTGTATCGACTCTTTATGTTCGAAACCACGGTCTCTTAATTTTATTTTAATGTTTCCAAATTGTAGCTTGTCTCGTTCAGTTTCGGGATTTTACTCCATGCGTTCAACAAATTTTTCACCCTTCTATGGATTTGTACATAATAGTTCTTTTTACCGATTATCTATTAATACTTCTTCTAAATAAATTTATTAATGTTAAACTGCTTGTTAGCAGTTGAAATTTTTTGAGAAGTTTGACTACACTCCAATCGAAATTTTTTTTTGACGGGTTGAGTTGAAAACCATAACACCGAATTTCAAAACTTCAACCAAAATGCAGTTGGGTTGAAAAACGTAAAAGCGCCATAATCTGATCTCTGATTTTCGTCTTTTTGGGTATAAGCTAAACCAATATTCGAATAAAAACATAGAAATTGCCATATGGCCACCAAACATTCTAAACTTTATCATCACTGCTAAGCGAATAATACTCGTAAAACAAGTAATGTATAATTTAGTTAAATTTATTTGAATAAGTTTTTGATTATTTTGCGAACAGACAAATTAATATAAATCAGAGAAAACTCTTAAATATTGCTAAGGATTTCGTGTTTAGTTATGTTTCGTGAATATGTTTGTTAAACTGGTACAATATCTTTCGTATTTGATAATTCTTTGTTTGCTTTTTTTTAAGTTATTAAATTCGGATATTTTTTCATATATATTTAGGAAAATGTATAGTACCCCGAAACATAGTTTTATAGAAATTAATAATTGCTATGGTAACGAATTAAGGTTTTGTAAATTGCCCTTGTGAAGTCTTAATATAGTGAATACGAGTTTACATATATGAGTCCTTAGTCCTTGTTTTAAAGAATATTTTATTATTCATTAGTAAAAAAAGTAGATATTTGAATTCATCGACGGAAATTATTTCGATTTAGGGATTTATAACTCGCAAGGATATAATATATGGGTATGCATGTACGTAATTAAAACGGAACTCCTTAAGGAGATTCCATACTATAGTAAGATGAGTTTTTATTAGCATATACACAAGAATATTCGAATTCCTCTTCGGTTAATACTTAAAATCCTAAATCCATATGAAATTTTGTTTAGAAAAATAGAAAATGTTAATATCGATTTATAAACTTATTAAAGATGGCAAGTGAATGAAATGCATGAAATGGTGTGTAAAATTCTGCATTTAACGATAAACTTAAACAAAAATTGATAGCATTATAGGTAGAAAGATTACGAGTATATGAATTGTAAACGATATTTCGATGGTTTCATGAAAAGCTCCATACCACTAGCAGAGAAATGCGATAGGCATGCCCTATATTTGTTGAATAATATGGTCGAATAGGAGTTACTAATAAATTTTTTCTAATTAAGACACACATATATATATGAATGTTTGCAAGTAAGCATGCCAATATTTTCCACTACATACGCGTTATAAAATAAACTAGATTGGAAATGGAACATTTATCTTGTACGTGAAAAATACTAATTTAAAATTGATTTTATCTCTTTGTATTGTAATTGTAACGTTTTCTGTTTTGGATGTATGGGCGGCGGAAAAGAGTACAAAATTATTTTTCTTCAGAACTCAGTCCCTCAAAGAATCTCACAGCTATCATATCTCTCCCGCCAAACGAAATGCATCCCCGATAGCCACAAGCGTTCTCGTAAAGTTAATGTTGTTATTCCCCTCCTTCCCGCCACATTACGCATGCTCCCCATTCCTCTGGTCTCTACATTAAATACAATCGCCCTCTACCTCCTCCTGATTCACATCCTGATCGAATTCATCGTCAGCGGTAGCCTCCTGGTATTGTTGGTATTCGGACACCAAATCGTTCATATTACTCTCCGCTTCGGTGAACTCCATCTCATCCATACCCTCGCCTGTGTACCAATGCAAGAAAGCTTTGCGCCTGAACATCGCCGAAAATTGCTCTGAAATACGTTTGAAGAGCTCTTGTATGGCGGTTGTATTACCAATAAAGGTTGAGGACATCTTCAATCCCTTGGGTGGGATATCACATACGGCCGTCTTCACATTATTCGGTATCCATTCAACAAAGTAGGAGCTATTCTTATTTTGCACTGCTAACATTTGTTCGTCAACCTCTTTCATGGACATACGACCGCGGAAAACGGCAGCGACAGTCAAGTATCGGCCGTGTCGAGGATCACAGGCGGCCATCATGTTTTTGGCGTCAAACATTTGTTGTGTCAACTCGGGTACGGTCAGAGCACGATATTGTTGAGAACCCCGCGAAGTGAGTGGCGCAAAACCGGGCATAAAGAAGTGCAGACGTGGGAAGGGTACCATGTTCACAGCTAATTTACGAAGATCGGCATTCAGTTGACCGGGGAAGCGTAAGCAAGTGGTCACACCGGACATGGTAAGCGATACGAGATGATTGAGATCGCCATAACTTGGGTTCGATACCTTCAATGTGCGGAAACAAATGTCGTAGAGTGCCTCGTTGTCAATGCAATAAGTTTCATCAGTATTTTCCACCAACTGATGTATGGAGAGAGTGGCATTATATGGCTCGACGACAGTGTCAGATACCTTGGGTGAAGGTACTACCGAGTAGGTATTCATTATACGATCTGGATACTCTTCGCGTATTTTTGAAATTAGTAACGTGCCCATACCAGAGCCAGTGCCGCCACCCAATGAGTGCGTCAATTGAAAGCCCTAAGGTGAAAAACAATAATGATTATAAATAGTACATACATTTTAAGTGCTAATAAAACTTACTTGCAAGCAGTCACAGTTCTCGCATTCTTTACGTACTACATCCAACACATTATCCACCAGTTCCGCACCTTCGGTGTAATGACCTTTAGCCCAATTATTACCGGCTCCCGACTGGCCGAATACGAAGTTGTCTGGACGGAAAAGTTGTCCATAGGGGCCGGAGCGCACCGATTCCATGGTACCTGGCTCGAGATCGAGAAGAATGGCACGGGGCACATATTTGCCGCCAGAGGAACGCGTCACAGCTAGAAAAGTACACAAACCATATCGTATGCAAGTAAATAAAAAAGAGTGTAATCGAACATTTCATAGTTTTGCAACTTGCAAGGAACAAAGCCGGGGGAACAACTTCAGGTTTTGGCAAAACTTTATATCAAACTAAGGAAAATATCGGCGTGATTTCATTCATTTAAAGAAAGAGGGTACACTGACTTTTTCTGAATTTCATTAAGATTTCTTACATACAGCCGATAGATGCGGTATAAAGTAAATCGGAGGTTTGAAAATATTTATGTTAGGTATATGAGGGCTAAGGGAGTGCCGACCAGCTTTTACACATTTTTGGCATAAACACAAAGAGTTAGACGGAATTTTATAGTTTTTTATATGGGAATTATAATGTCTAATAGAAATGTTGGGAGTAGTTCCTGAGGTATAGGATTTCGCCTAAATGTGGTCGGTGCAATGTAAGGGACGTCCAATTTTCACACCAGAACCTAAAAGGCCCTTCTCTTCCATTTTGGTTGTAAAATCTAATGCTTGTGGCTCATTTATGCAGTGAGTTATAGTACTTTTAGTAGTAGTGGTTATTATCCGATTTTACCTATTTTCACAGAGTTTGAAGAGGTGATAAAATCACATCACAGAACGCAAGTTAGGTTGATATATTTTAAGCGGTTTGGAAGATATATAAATTTAGGGGGCGGAGCCACGCCCACTTAAAAAAAATTATTTTGCCCACAGGTGTCCCTGGCTACTGCGATCTCCTGTACCAAATTATGTGGGTGTGGCAATGGTCCCATTCCGCTCACCAAGTTTCATCAAGATATCTGAATTTTTACTCAAGTTATTGCTTGTATGGACACACGGACAGACTGTGAACCGGATTCCAACTCGTCTCGTCATCCTGATCATTTATATGTATATAACCCTATATATCTATCTCCATTAGTTTTAGGTGATACAAACAACCGTTAGGTAAACAAAACTATTATACTCTGTAGCAACATTTTGTAAGAGTATAAAAAAGTTAAGAAAACAAAAGAGTGAGAGTATGTACATCACTCGATAGTATTTGATTGGGTAGAAAATGAAAGGCGCATGTCTTAGACGTTACTTGGAATAGATGGGAGAGGTTTTTTATGCAATTATGTAGAAATATGTGCCAACGGCATGGGAAATTGTTAAACCCAGTTTATATACTACATAAAAGATAATTGTGATTGTCTTTACGAAAACATATAGTAGAAGTAGTTAATAATATTTATTTCCATATACACAAAAAAAAATTTCGAACATCAGCTATAAAATACCCTGTCTACAAGTACAATGCCATGGCACTCTATTTGGCGAATTTGCAAATGCAAATGTAATTCCCCCCTTTTCTAATTCTCTTACATCCGTTTCTGCGATGATATTACCGCAAATTTTTTTTTTTTTTAAATTGCACGTGTGACAATGACTACCGACTGAAACTTAAATGTACATCGTAGAACTCTTAAAAGTTCGAAAAAGTTCGAAATGAAAAGTTTCGGGGTTGCTTTAAATATTTGCCATCTGGAACAAATCTCATTTTATAGATTTATTTAATTGGATTTTTTACCTGAAGCTTCATTGTAATAAACGCTAACCCGCTCCAATTGTAAATCGCTGTCGCCATTGTAAATTCCATTGCTGTCGATTCCATGCTCTTCCGAGATGATCTCCCAAAACTTAAAAGGACAGAGAAGGAAAAATTAGAATACGTAAGATCGTAATTGTATAAGCATCTTTAACAAAAAAACCAAATTTTTTAGCAAAATTCGAATATAATTTTTTAACATATTTTCTATTAAATAGGGATCTTTTCAAGACTTTTCAAATAGGTATGCAGACAGGCACATAGGGATGGGATCACTTCAAGTAAGTTGGAAAAATTAAAAAAGAGGTAATAAAAACGTGATGATAACTCATAAAGCTTGGATTGCTTTTTGTTGTGATTTCCAAACACTAACCAAATAGAAGCTGAGTAGCATACGCTTCTTCAACGGCTTCATTAACATATTTTATTTTATTTAATTCAATTCTAATCTGTCGTCGATATTGTCGCAATTAGCAAAAGCTTGTGTTTAATTCATTAAGTTGTGTTAGATGTATTTGGGATGACACTTTCGAGCTCAATGACTAGATTTAAAAGCGTGTGCGTGTCTTGGTTTGAGTGTAGAAACATATTTATATGTTTATATATATATATATGTACAATGCCATGGCACTCTACTTATTTACAGCCTGTGGTATGTTTTAGGCTGCCACTATATTTGGGCATAAATTACACACGTACCCTATTCAGAAAATTAATACGAGTAACATCATGTACATATACTCGCTTGATATAATTGTATAAAACGTAGTAGAATATTCTTTGAGTACTTAAATTTAAAATGAAAACCTGGCATTTCGAAGCTGAAAATCAACCAGGATTAATACACCCTGTTCAGTGTATAATTAGGATGTATTATTGTGGTGATAAATTGAAAATTTCATGTAATTCTAAATAATAAATTCATTCGAAGTCCAAAAATAAAGCATTGAAAGATTAATGATTTGTGACTCTCGAAAACACCTACAGATGTATAGAATATGTACACATGTATTTATAGTTGAAATGACAGTTTATCGACTACTTAAATCTCCACCACACAGCTATGTTCTTCACTCTGTGTTGCCCTGATTTAGAGCTAAATTTAAACTAACTGTATCTGCGCATAGAGTATACATAAAAATACACATCTCGGTGTGTGCGGTGTCAGCTAAAAATGCTTTCCGGTTGCGATTGAGTGGAGCGGAGTGGAGTTTCCACAACTTAACACTTGGGCACAGCGGCGCCTTTTCCCCAAGACACTCTCAACTGGGAACGCGCCAACTTTCCTATGTGCCCACCATTGCCTTGCATGTGTGGTTTCTGAAAATAGCCCCGAAATGTGCAATAAATTTGTTGTCGCCTATTTTAAACTTCTGATGAGCGTTCGCATGCAACACCGCAGAAGAGATCTGTAAAAGGGGCTAAAGCATTCGGCTCCTGGGGAACAATTCTGGCTGACAAATGATATGTAGATACATAATTTCAAAAATATCTCAGGAAAGTGCATTGTAAGTCAACTCATGCAATGCGGCCTGGGAGTGCAACGCATAACTGCGACAAACACATTTAAGGAGATTTGGAATTAGTATACGGTGACTGACACATCATCGATGAAAATTTGTTAAAAGGCATTTTTAAATATGTATTCAAAAATGTGGTTTTGGGTTTATAATTGTTTGTGGTTGTGAGTCATGTATGCTCCACTGAGTAGCTATTTTCTTTAATCGAAACAAAATAAATGACAATGTTTATGTACTGTGCGTGGTTTCGTATACCTCATCTAACTTAATAATAAATACTGAAACTACTGTTGTCAGAACTGTCGTGATTTCTAGAAAACAGGCTCTACAGACCTCCCTTTTCATAAAATGGATTAAGGAAATGACAACGCAAAGTACCCCTTGGCTTTAGTCGTCTATTTCTTTGCTCACTTTGCTTCAGACGGCTCTATTGTCAAAAAATGTAAGGCTGCAAGCAACAACAAAATTATGCAAACGTTTTCAATACATCTGACTATAATTCAACTGAGGTATAATCTTCTTTTATTTGCCAATCTATTTGAGTTATGCCAGTTGTTTGTTTGATTCGTCCGTCTTTCAATTCAGACACATTAAAGCCAGTTTTATATCACTCGTTTAGAAGAGATTCAAATCTATCAGCAATTATTGTATGTAAGTGCTATTCAGCATATAAGGACAAAGTCATATATTTTGGGCTCTGAGTGAACGACCTTTTAGTTTCTCTGTGCGCTAATTTCGCTACCAATAACAGAAAAGTTGAAAACTACTCAAAGAATTACAATTTGTATGCTCTCACAATCCTGACACAGAGTTTGAGAAAATAGTCCAAAAGTATTATGGACAAAAGCACTATGACGTTAAAGTTAAATTGATCAAATCATATTATTTAATGTGGATCTCTTGTGACTTTTTTTTATTGTTTGATGAATGTCATGATTGTTTATCCACAATTTGTAGTACTAATAGGTTTTAGAATAAATATTAAGCTTCCGCGAGACATACCATAGTACTGGATGACAGGTATAATTTCGGTCATTCGATATTATAGTATATATTGTAGTATAGCTATATCGGAAGTAAGTAATTAGCAAGCACGCTGATACCGCATCAACAAAAAGAAAAGTAATAATCATGGTGAATAATTTTTCCAAAACACATTTATCGCTACAGATAACAGTGCTTTTGGGTTAATAACCAATGGCAATTAAGAGATTTTAAAGTGTGCTATGGCTATGCCATTGCTAATGCATCTAAACTTATCACTTATGGCACAAACAGTCACCGACGCAAAACCGTGGACCGAGTCAGCTGACATGACCTACCTTATGAGAGCGCAATGTAAGTAAACGAGTGAGCTGAAAGTGAGAGAGCAATCTCTCTTGCAACGCAGGGTTGCCAATCTCGAAAGTTTGTAGTAATCAAAAAATGAACTTGAATATATTTGAAATATTCTTAAAATAACTCAAAATCACAGTCGAATACACTTATTTATAAAGAGGTAAACTATTTTTATACTCTCGCAACATGTTGCTACAGAGTATAATAGTTTTGTTCAATTCCTCCCTTCCGTACTTACCGCCCTCATCAAACGAAATTTGTCAAAAGTTATGCCCAATGTTGCCATTGCTCAATTTGTATAGATGGTTCTGCACACATCTAGGCTTTTCAGTTATAATTTTTCATAAATTAAAAGATCGAAACTAAAATCCAACTATTAAAAATAGTCTACCTATTTATAAATAATTGTATTCGACTGTGATTTCAATTATATTCAAGTTTATATTTTAATTACTACAAAATATATATACTGTCAACCCTTAGTTGTAAGAGAGCAATCAACTGACTCGTTTTCACGAAAAAAATCCAGTAATATTCACGTACATGGATGGTAGAAGCGGAGGGCAGGAGCGGTGGTCTGTGTTCATTTATGCCACAATGCGCTCTCATAAGATTGCTCGTATCAGCTGATTCGGTCTACGGTTTTGCGTCGGTCAATAACTGAAGCATAAGTGAGATGAAGTACCACTTTACTTCATAGACACACACACACACATCGCGATCTTTAGAAATCAGTTATGAATCAGCAATTGAAGGATTTTTGAAGTAATTTGTTGCAGTTAAACGTTTTGCGCATTACACCATACAGATTATTATTTTACTTTGTGTTCTATTTGGTATTCTTTCATGTATAAAGGTATACATACTTGTATGTAAGCTTCTGAGACATCAGCTAGATGCCGCTGCAGCATCTCCTTTTCGATGCAACGCTTCGGAGAGTCTAAGTGCATTACAATTGAAATATTATTGGTCATTAAAATTGAGAGAAGAAAACCTAAATGCGGCAATTAGGAATACAAAGAAAATAAAGAAGTACTTCAAGTAATCCAGTAATCCTCTCTGTCATAATAAATTTATTTCTGTTCCGCAATTGAGTAAATAATAACGAAAATAAATTTTAAAGGGGGAGCCTCCAGTTACTAAATCTAATTTCTGTAGGTTTATACCTACAAAAATAGGCAATTTGTTTGAAAAATGTTTTTCCAGTTAATTGATTCGCAAACATGTAGAAATACCGTTTGTTTCGATTCCTTTATTAATTTTGCCATATAATTTCGAAATACATACATACACATGTATGTACATATTTATGTATGCATAAATTATGTAGAGAACTTTCTGGCAAATTTCGAACTTAATGATCTGTTTAACTAGTATTATTGTAACAATTTATTATATACCATGTTTCACAGTATGTAGCAAGTTTTCCTTATCGAGTGTCGTACTCCTTTTCGCCATACAATCTTACTCGCCTTGATTCCAGAGATAAAAAACTCGCTCTAATCGGAAAAATTATCTTCTGCCCAAAACTCCCGGGGGTTGCTTAAAAGCTCTTTCGCAAAAGCATTACGCTTTTGCCTATTAACTAGATATATGAATTTTGCGAATGGTGGCAATGCAGAAGGTCTTCCTAAAATTTTCCTTAACTTTTTAAGCGATTTTTGATGCGGTAAGTCAAGAGTTTTCACATTTCGCAAAACGTTAGGAGTTTCACGCTGTGCTAGTATTTTTGGCCGTTAGTTAGTATGAGGTTTGCACCGCGACCTAGGGTCGATAGTGCTGAGCTCAGGTTACTACCGGGGTCACAGCTGGCGGATAGTGGACGGCCTACATTAAGTAGGTTAGCTGCGAATAGTAATACGCAGCCCCCGACCAAGAGCTGCTGGAGAGGAGGGCTTGACTCAAAAAGCCTCATGCGCCCAATGAACCTCCGGCGAAGAGGCGAATAGATGCCGCCTGTAAATAAGCGTCCACAACTCCCACCAGGGTTGCACCGAGGGAGAACCTACCCACGAGAGGGAGGCAACAAAGCAACGAGGGACCAATCCAGCGATCAGCACCCAAATGCGCATAGATGTCAAAGAAACTTCGGGCAAGCGCCGATCAGAATAGAGACCAGTAAGATTCTGATTATGGTATACTGGAAATCCGGAACGGACTAGGTAAACAAAGGGCTGGTGAGAGCAGCATTCTGTCAGGTAAGAGAGCCTCAGTAGGTAAGAGTGAAATCTCA